TACATATTTCTACAACTTGCTTTTAGAACCTGCGATAATGCGAAACAGATAAAATAATGACTCAGAAGAAAACTTACTTTATCTACTCTGATTATAAAGTATCTGTCGGAAAGTCAATGCACTATTCTACTTTTTCTTTGATGGTAGAGAAAGCCGTATCCTACCTGATGTAAATATGTCAATGATGAACGATACCACTTCCGTTCTGAGAATGAGGAACATTGTAGCAACCTGATAAAGGTTAGCATTCGTACTTCGCAATGAATACGTGCAAAATGGAACCTATTCATAGGACATGAGTTATTAAACTCCATTAAGCTTCAATGACAATTTCTTACTAATCATCTACGATATAAGTATTTAAAGCCATTTCAGTACTAAATTGAAAATTCTATTTCTGTAATATGATACAAAATAACCGGTGTATTTACAAAAAGCACGTAAAATATGTTAATTCGAATGTAAAAAGTGTTTAGAACGTATTGGATTCTCCATTGAGTTGTTTTAATTATTACTTTTTAATTGTACCCTTTAAATGTCACATACTTCCATTTAAACATTTTATTAAATCCTTTTACTTTTCCTTCCAATTCTAGAGTAAGGAGTATTGGAATCATCTGAAACAATTAACTCTAATTTAGAAAATTCCGTATTTATGGTTCTTTTAAACCGGCACTTGGTACACGTGTCTCATTTAAGGTATATTAATGCTTATTCAAAGATGCTTAAGATGGGTGAAAGTAGCGAGCAGATACATGCAATTTTGTCCCCGAAAATGGGGTTGTCTCTATGGATGGATCACGGTTGAAGGGATACTTGATGGATGGAAGTGTGCATCACACATAACTCTGTTGCATTACAAGCTTTTGAGCTTAAACATGAAAAACACATCAGGAATAAGATCTAATTGTGCCATTCCAGGAATCATTAATATACTTCAATTCTTGGGGTATTTTATATTAAGCCCTGTAAGATTGTAAAACACTTCTGAAAAACTGCTGCAACCTTTTTCTTTCTTTTTTTGGAATCCAATAGAAGAAAGTGAATACATACATGTAACTTAATTACGATATTCATTAAAACTACTGAAATTTTGAAAATGACAAAGAACTTTCGGACCTGTATTTCACCTCGGATGTTGAAGCCAGGGATTTATTTCTCAATGCGTCTTATTCCTCAATTTTAAATTTGTAAATGAAAGCCTGCACTTTTAAATAATGTAAGTATGTTTTTAGTAATAACACTATGAGGAGGAAAAGTGTTGATATAGCACGCATTCCCTCTAATTTTTGTTTCTATTCAGTCCACCATTCCAGTTTCATATAGACCGAAGCAATTCGAGAAACGAACGCTGAGATTTGGTCTTCTTACGAATGCGGTTGCGGAATGTGCCACAAATTCTCAGAGGGATCGCAACCCATGTAGCAAATTTCCTGCTTGCGACCGGGATCATTCCCTTGGCCACCTAGCTGTTCTCTGCTCGAGGACGGGACGTTGCCTTATACTCGCCATTACGGACGTCGGTTTGCAGAAAGAATGACTGATAAAAAAACGTGGTGGATAGAAGTAAATCTCCAGATTGTACACTAAGGAAATTTCAGAACACGTCAAAAAAGAAAGAAAGAAAAAAGAAAAGCAATTATATCTATGTCTGCCCTGACCCCGAAGCTAACTTGCTTCTAGTCCCTCAAATATGATGAATAAATACAAATATCCACAGGCATTTTATATATCGTTACGGATCGAAAGCGCCAACTCTTCAGAGAGTTGTGGCCGCCAAGGGCAATCTCGGGTGCTGACCCTGGGGCCAGATGGGGGTTGAAAGAGGGAATACGTGTCTTATGGTAAAATCAATCTGTTCTATGTAAGACAATTTAAGATAATGGCGGTGACTGCCTAATCGAGAAGCTGCTTCACCAACTTTCACCGTATTCCAATGTCAAAATATCAATAGCAGAGGAATATCATTGTTGAAAACTGTAGCCATCCCTACCTTTTGATCGTGAATCCTTCGCTAACTACTTGCCTCCTCTGTATTCGGCATTCCGCGAACAGCCCCACTTGATCTCGCTTTCGTTTTCGGATTTTGATTGACTTATTGATATTTCCGGGCTATTGCTATGGTCATTAGTTCCATTAATGTAGTGAATTCTTTATCCCGGGAAGCGGTGGTGATGCCTCTCACGCTGAATGGTGAGATCCGGCGCTGGCCTACACTCCAGAAAAGGGGATTTCACCTCTCGGTATCTCCCTTTAGCTTGGCATCACCCCAGTTAGGATAAGCTCAAAAATATGGTCTCCCGACATGAGTGGTAGTGCATGCAAGTGTATGGGGATGTATGGGAATGGTATAGGTCAAGCAAGACGAAAGAAATATCGAACGCGGACAATAGCTCGTTTGTTAGGGTGTCAAATGTTCCGGCATTAGCTAGATATTGGAGAAATGAGGGAAAACTGTCCATCAACGCAACTGGCCTCTTAAATCCTACATTACACCGGCCGAATTCGACCTAGCTATCTAGCTAACGCCGAAAATCGTTGGGAATCGAACCCTGTGGGATCTCTCAGGGTCACTGCAGAGATGGCAGCAGTGTTGGCTCTAGGCTAACTCAGCAGACGCTTTCGTCTTCAACTGCGTCCCGCGCAGGCTTTCCGGCCCCCCTCCTCTCCATCTCCCCCCCCCCACCCGAACTCCGCCTTCGAAGCAGCCTTTTGTCGCCCGCTGCTCGCTGTGCCGGAAGGCCTGCCACTCGCGCTCACAGACCTTCCAGTGCTTTCACAGCCCTTTTGTGCGGCAGACAGCAGATCAAGCTCTTTGCTCTCCTGGGTTGTTCGCTCTCCATCTCTCTCTCTCTTCGAACCATCAAGAGCTCCTCTTCCTCGATTTACACTCATGTCAATCGGTTATGTTATCAGAGGTTCGAAGTCGTTATAGATGACCAAGCAACTAGGAATGTTTGCAACGATTTAAAAAATTACTAATAAGTTAACTACGTACTTCTAAATTTGATTTGTAGTTAGGGGACGTCCATAAATTACGTAACGTAAATTTGGAGGATTTTGAATACCCCCTCTTCCCCCTGTAACGCACCCCTAACGCGCTATTGAACTCCCTCTAAATAATTACTTAACATTTGTGACACCCCCCTTATAAATGCAAGAAGTGAAAATACATTACAGCTCAGTAAAAGAATTGTATTAATTTTTTGTGTTGCGTATTACAATTTATAATAATTAAAGTCGGAATTAGTTGTCGATGCTGACTGCACCTAACAATAAGATCGGGAAAATTCTGAGTGAAGGAAGAACGCACAGGAGAAACAACTTCTGATCAGAGCCATGGTCACGCCGCCGTTTTGGATGGCGCAAGGGCGAGAATTATTGCACCAATTTAATATTCTACAAAACACTACAGTTCAGTTTAGAACACTTTCTTCTTAATCTAACAGATTCAATAAAAAATTAATGAATATATATTTCCATTTATTGCAATAACTTTACATAACTTTTAAATATGTATATTTTAAAACAAATTAATTATATAATATTTTAATGTTTTGGTACAAGACTAAAAAAAGTATTTCAAAAACCGTTAAAAAATGTAAATAAAATATCAATGTTACGTAAAACTAATGTAATACTTCCTGCCCCTACGTAAAGCTGCCTCAAAGCCCTTTCCCCTCTTTAGCATTATGTAATTTATGGACGACCTCTTACCTAGATTTTAAGGAACATTGTCGGCATTTCACTTACCATTGTCTTAAAAATGTAATGCTTAATAAACGATGTTCAAAAATTATAAATATAAAATGTTCAAAATTTATAAAATATACAAAAGAAGTAAAATACTTTATTTCTACTTTCCTCCTTTTGTTCGATCTCTTCCATCATTCAGAGAGATTTGAGGAAACTACACCACTAAACCATGCATTCTAATATGAATTGGGTTCGCTGAAACAAAACGAGTGGATGTCGAATTTTAAACAATGTTCTATAAGGTAGCATCGCAACTTGGTTTACACAACCTACGAAGGAGTCATGATTGGAATCATTCAATTAAGTTTTTCGTATTATTATAACAAGTAAACGGGAGGTAAGATATAGTTACAGTATATCTATTGCACAAACTAACTGGAGCTGCCCACTACCAAAAACTGCATACTCATGCTCAAGAAAGAGAGAAATTTAACAAAAAAGTTAAATCTTTTTCAATTCTGTATTACTCGTATTTTAATTTTTAACACATGAGAGTTTAATTGTTAATTAAAATCAATTCTTAATGCGGATCGGATATGATCTGCGGGCCCCTATTGAGAAGATCAGTCCGGTGATATTACAAGTTAAATACATACTCAAACGTTTGTTGTTTTTTTCGTTCCTTAAAAATGATTGGCTCCATCCCAGTCCACTTTTCAATTTATCTGGAAGTTCACTTTTCAATTTATCTTCGATTGCACACAACTAGATTGGCACTTTGGTGAGCCGAAAAATCGATTGGAACTGATATTCTGGAAGAATTCTAGAAGAAAAGTGTATTTAGTGTGTTTATAGTCACCTATTGAGGTTAAACTCTTCGAATTACCAGTCTGCGTTTCCTGCATCACGTGATTTGTAAGGTCCTGCTTCATCACATTTTTTTTTAAATAAAAAGGTACAGATTCAAACCTTCTCATTTAACTTTCTGTGCCCGAGGGTGGACGACCCTGGAAATTGTATTATGTTTAAAATATATTTTTATTATGAACTTGCATATCACAAAAAATGTTTAGCCTGTGCACCAAAAGCACACGCCGAGTTAGAGATTACTACCATTAGATAGAGTTCATTTGTAATGCCACACTACCATTGTCACAAATCGGCACACGATTTACAATGGAGATGGGCTTCGATAACAGCTGGCTCGTAATAATAGAGAGACAATATAGCAAATAAGAAATTAGCTGTTAAGGAGACATCCTTTCTTCCGAAGGGCTGTGCTGAAATACCCGATGTTGATAATTATGGTGAGTGCGCGATTGTTTCAGGTGCTTTCCTGGTACCGTATTGCATCATGCTGTTCGTGGGCGGCATTCCGCTGTTCTACATGGAACTGGCGCTGGGGCAGTTCCACCGCAAGGGCGCCATCACTTGCTGGGGCCGCATTGTCCCTCTCTTCAAAGGTGAGCGACTGCTCGAAGCGCCGAGAAGCGTCTTCGATTGATCGATTGATCGACTGATTGAGAGTGATTACTGGTACGCCAACTACTAAGGTTATTAGTCCAGTAAGTATAGTGCATGCTCTGCTCGGGAGGTGGCTATACCCAATAAAGTTCCCCAAAATCATGGAAGTGTTTTATCTAGTTTTCAGAAAATCTCGTTCACAGCATCATTTGGAAATAAAATCAAAATCATTCATCAAACACAATTTCAATAACGTCTTCATTAACCGAGATTTTAAGATAATGAAGTTTTAATTAACCAAGATTAGTTATTCTCGCACAGCTTCTGCAAGAGGTAGTAAATACATGGATTTATTTTCTAAATTTTATCTTATTCAATTCCATATTTTCAGTTATATTAGTGCAATAATATTGCTTCTTTCGTTATTTTCGAGGTTTAGTTGCACTAGCAAAACCGAAACATATTGAATCTGAAAATCATATGAATTTACTAAACGTTCAAACATCAAATCTCGTTCTCTATTAACCAAGGTTTCCGAAATACAGTAACATCGTCAAATCATCGCAACCTACAACTCACTCCCTGTTGTAGTTACAACGTCTAACAACGCATTAAGCTGTTTTCGAAGGCAGCGTACTTCACTCTCCCGTCGTAACCGCGACGCGTCCTGGAAAGCGTTAAACATGAGAGATACAGTAGGGGACGAGTCTGCCTGAGTCAGTCTGAAGAAGGAAGCGAAGATTTGCGGAAACGGATGAGTGAACCTCAGTTCTGGAACGGGAACTGCCACCTCACTGGCACAGAATGGGCACAAACCCTCCCGCACGTGCGAAAGGGATTCTCTAGGCAAAAACTGTCTCTATGACCTTCGCTATTATAGTTATATCCCATTTCCTAAACACTAAGAGCAATTGTGAAGTAGATTTAGGTAAGAAGATGCTGACGAATTCGTAAAACAACCAAAACGATCGATTTGAGTCCAACCAAATTTATGAAGACTGGGTTTTATTACGAATCGTATACCCACAAGTTTGCAGACAATTGGACATACGACGATAGATGACCACGGGTATTATCATTTCAAATGAAATGATGGAATATTACTTTTTTATATAATTTAATATATTTTATAATTTAATGTTATATAATTTATTATATTTTATAATTTAATATTATTTTTCAATTTTAAATATTATTTATTATTATTAAATATTGTTTTTAATTAATTCCAAAACATCGTAACAGATTACTTGATTATTTGAATTATTTATTGAATATATTAGTCATTAGGTATTGATTGCTTCTAATTTTACTCTAGAGATGACTCATTATAAACGTGGTGGTGAATAAGAATAGTGGCGGCTTTAAGAGTTCATAAACTAATGACCAGAGGGGAGCGAAATGTTGAGACGGACGTAAAACGAATTTGTTTTTGTAACACGCTCTACTTGCGTATTTCGCGCGCTGATGTTTCTTCAAAGTATTCCCACTGCCACAGCTTCCGTTATCATTACATGAAATTATGACTAAAGCATGTCTCTTTCCGTTTGATATGAAATGAATAAGCCACCTCTTACGCGAAAGTTAGCAACTACTCTTTAATTGAGCACAGCAATTTAAAAATCTTTGCAAAAGATTTTTAATGTCTCTTCTGCAATTGCACTATTGTTTAACAAGAAAGTTTTGATTATTTTCGTATTTACATCGTATCCTTCAAAATGAGGCCTTTGTAATTACCTCTTACCTTTTGGAGCTTTGGCCCTTCGTAGAACGGGAAATGAAGCGCCACTTCGTAGAAAGGGTTGTCACAAAACAGCAAATCTCTAAAGGTAGGTCAAATTATAGTGAACATTTGAAATTGTTTGTAGTTTAATATCACATGACTTTGTTAATAAACGCTTAGTAATATTGAAATGTATACCTAAGCACAGTAGCTTGCAGTTCGATATTGGTTTCAAGTATGAAGTTGCTTTCACTTTTAAAAGAATGAGAGATTCAAACTGTAATAACAATAATAATAATAATAATAATAATAATAATAATAATAATAATAATAATAATAAGTCAGCAAAAGTCAGGGTTAAAACTAGCAGGAGAAGTCAAAGCAATTAGGCAACTGCAAAAACTTCATATTGTTCCTCTGGTCTTTTCGTGCACAGGGCTTATACCAAATAACATCCATAAAATCGGGAACTTATTCTAATGGCAAAGTACACGTTCGAAATGATACAAAAATCTGCCATCTTAAACACATGCAGGATATCTTCCTAACGAACAATAAGGTAAAGCATAGTCGTCTTCTCATTCCTTATCAGTTAGCTGAACGGCAATCTCGTGTATTATCTGCACTCGAGAACTAGATATCTTTCCCTCCGAACCATCCCTTCAGATTTTTCTCGTCCCCGAGCAGTCGATGTAGTTCGAATCCGTTATCTTTAAAATCTCGGGCGGGGGCGGCGGAGTGTCTTACAAAAGAACATAAATTACGGCCTCCCGAGGTGCGCCCTACGTCTAAGCTCATGAAATTGAAAGCGGCGCCGAGCCCCCGGCGCAGGTGGGGGCTCGGGGCGCAGTCGTCCTGAGTTCCTGGGCGGTAAGCGCTTTAGCGACCGCGGGGCCAATTACGGCGGGCCGCCGGCCCCGCCACCGCCACCGCAGTCATTCGCTTCTTCGCCCACCCCCGGCTCCTGACCGGCAGCCTCACCCGCCCAAAGCCATTCCTCTACCCACGTCGCAGCTCCTCGCTTTCTTTGCTCCGACGCCGTCTGACTCTTCCATCCAGCTCGGGCCACTCTTTGGCTCGGCTTCTCGCTGACGGACTCAACAGTCGGAGGCGAGTCGATCCAGCCCATGGCACGGTCCTATGTTCTCATGGCACGCACGTACCCATGGAACGTACCCATGCCCAGTTCCTACGCATGGCACGTCTGTTCCCAATATGTCCGTTTTCATCGCCTTTGTTTCTTCGTTTCCTTTGCCAAAGAGTTTTGTGGCATCTTCAACTGTAGAAGATAACTCTGTCATGAAGCTGGTATTTCCTTGACCGGACCTCTATTACCAATGTTGTCGATTTATCTCCCGTAATCGTTATCACCTCCGTTGGTAGGTGGCTCCTACCAACCCGTAACCCATCCACCATCGCAAACGCGCACTCTTCTATTCTATTCTCATTTCAGTCTGCCCTTTCTCTGCCATTGCAGCCGTACGCTACCAGACCAGTCTCCCAAGACTCCACCCGGCGCCCACCGTCGTATCTCCATTATCCCCGCTCTTCTCCGCTGCGACCGCCCCCAACACCACCTGCCCGGCGCGC